ATAATCAGATTCAGCGCGTTCTTCCTCTTCATTTCGCAGCGGCGCCGAGCAGAGACAGAGAGCACGTCAGAAACACAGGACAGGGTGTGTGTGTGTGTGTGTGTGTGTGATGTGTTCATGTGTGTGTTCATCTGAGCCTCATTGGTCTGTCACTGCTCGTCAATGTGAGAATATTTGAGATGACCAATCAAATCAAAGTAGGCGGGCTTTATGTTCACAGACGCTGAGCGCGAATTTTAACAGTGCAACTCGACGCTTCAGTGTACGGTCAAGTGCGAGATAAGATGTAAGTAGCTAAACTTAACTTTATTTGACAGTTTTTTTTAGGTCATAAATGTTAAACGAATGACAAAAAATAATTAGGCAAACTAATATAGTTTTGTCTAATTTCGCCATTTTGAACTGAAAATAGGCCTATGTAACATGTAGCCTAGTGTAATAGTTTAGGCTACTGTCATTGTGAGGGGACAAGAAACATGAACAAAGCCGTTTTCATCATGTTAGGCACAGGATTTATAATGAATGTGTAGCCTACATATTGAGAATAAAATACAAATTGTAACCTTTAGTAAATTTAAAAAAGCCAACTTTAGGAGGGGAAGAGACAGGGCAAGATAAAAACAAAGAGAAAAAGAGTGTGATGCTGATGAGGAGAGAAAAATAATCAGCTGCCCACTGACATGGTTTTAAAGCTGTTGTTATCGAATTATTATTATTTATTTTTTTTGCCTTCACAACATCTTTATAATGCACATCTGTAGTTCAGAAAAATCCCAAATTTCCCCCGAACACCCCTAACTAACCTGCCTCAAATTCGGGATCCCAGTGATTATTGTAATGAAACTAGTTAGTAAGCATTAGACCCTAATCTAAAGTGTTACTTTTTAGCTTTTTAATTTGTTTTATAAATCATACCCTCATTGGGGGCTTAGCCCCCCTAAATGAAAATCCTAAATGAAAATGCTTTTTTTTTAGGGGGGGGGGCATCATAAAGGAATTATGCTTAGGGCACCAAAATGGCTAGCAGCGGCACTGGGTTAAGGTAAAAAAGTTACTTAGTTCACCTTTAACATGCACTTTTCATTATTCGCTAATAAGAATGGTTATACCTCTCTCAGATAGGCATGTTACTGGCCATTGTTTTACTCACATCAAATTCAAAATATCTTTTTATCTACGTAGGCCTACTGGATATTATTCGGCACCATGATGAACTTCGCAATGCTGGGTTCGTTGCGCTGTCTGGATGAAGATACGGCGAAGAGACTGCGCAGCGAGTTGTGTTAACAGAGTTTTTTGAGAAGAGAAAACTTCAGAATAATGTCATGGAGTTCATTTAAAAAGTTCAGAGACAGGACCACTTTGGCAAGTTACTTGAGTTTATTAAACACAATTTATCTTTGGTGGTATGGTTCCTCACGGGGGTTCTTGCTCCATGATTAATGGGATACAGAGCTTAAGCATTAAGCCCCCATAGAACCATCAGCTTGAGTGATATACAGATGATTAAGACACTTTAGTAATGTCTTGGAAGCAAAACAGTGTTAACGTGTATGTGGCAATAAATCTTGGATATGAGGATGAGTGTCTCTCAACAATGATGTCCGTGACAGGTAAGACTTGACAACCTTGGTAATCTGAAAGAAAAGAAGACGACAGCCAGAAGGTGCACGGTAATATGCTTGATACTTATAGTGGTGAGGGCGGGAGAGTTGCAAGCAGTTTGAGCATGCTTACCAAGCAGTAATGACACGTATATATATCCTCCCGGTCTTATAGGAGAATGGTAGTGATTGGAGCGATTTGACGGCTGACCGCATCAGCTGATAGCAGCCTATGCGTGGCCTTCCTGATCTAATGGTGCGTTCACGTGCTATGGTAATTATGGTAAATACCAAAAGCCGACATGGAAAATGCACATGAACACTCCCTCATGTGGTATTTTCCACTGGGCAACTCGTAGAATATTTTGATGCACGAGTTGCCGAGATGAGATTACCTTTGATCTTTTCAAAATGGCGGAGAGCAACCAAGAGTTGTGAATGGTAAATGGGAATGGTAAAAATATGTACTATTCATGATCTAGAAAATATACAGCATTTAATATTTGCGTTTGAGTTTTGATAAATCATTTTCTTGCTGTAGCAGATGACTGAAGCAATCTAAAATAGTTTTAGCTAAATAACAGGTCTGGATCTCCATCTTTTTACCACATTACGACAACAAAAGCACTTGAACGCAACACACTGGTAAATACCAGTTCACAAGTGGAAAATATCATATTTTCCATAGCACGTGAACGCACCATAACGCTGCACTCGATTTGTGTGAACAATGGCATCCATGTACGTCCGAGCACATGCGCACTTTGGTCAGAGCGGTAATAATGCGATTAAGATGTTTACCTGTTTATTGCGATTAAATTAATGTACGCCACAGCTTAATGCGAATATGGTTACTACGATATAAGCTTAATCGCCTTGGCTTAGATTGATCGAAGTTTTGCATTTACATGAGGTAAAGTTTAATCGCAAATATTGTCAAAAGGGTCATTCTACGGAAATGTCCATTTTTCTGTCCCTAGCCCCTACAAAAATATTACACTTGAAAAAACACTTTAGAATTACAATTTCTTTACATTTTAAAATAAAACAATATGTTATTTGAACAATTACACCTTCTTGAGCCATCAAGTGGCAATATTTTATTTTTTATTAATTATATAGAATTCCAAACACCACAGAAGTGCAGAAGAAAAGCCCATAATAAATCCTCTGTCTCTTTTCAGTTATCAGAAATATTCTCATTTATCTCATGATTTCATATGAAGCTTTTAGTTGAAGTCACTGGTATGACCTAATTTATTGTTAGGTAATTGTAAAAAAAAATGAGAATACAAATGGATTAAACTACTTAATTTAGTTAATATACCATGATTGACAACATGTGGTTTGATACCTTGCAGCAGCCATTTTGTAAAATAAATTTTTCATGAAAATCGTCACTGGTGTTACTGTCACTGGTGTCACCTTTCTTATGGGTAACACCAGTGACTCCCATTTATAGATAAACTTTACTCAAAGCTATTAGTTTAGATTATATGCCAAATGTAACAATTTAGTCTCATCTACTTAATTATAGTTGAAGAATAATGATATTTGGTTATGGTTATGGTTATGGTTATTTTATTTATAAAGCACTTTACAACTGCACCTGCAGACCAAAGTGCTGTACAATCAACCACATAAAACAAACAACACATAAAAACAACATGCAACTTACAAATATAAATACTAGCCCAACCTCTCAAAGGCTAAAGACATGAAATAATTTTTAACACTGGTTTTAAATACATTTAAAGAAGTGATCTCTCTTAATTCAAGAGGCAGACTATTCCAAAGCCTCGGACCCGCAACAGCAAAGGCCTGATCTCCTTTTGACTTTATGCATGTTGGTGATTCATTGTGTCACTGGTGTTACCGTCTTTTTTTCTGTCACATTAAATACAATGCCATATGTGACATGATAATAATTTTACATCCATTTAATTCTGCTACACTCAAAAGTTAAGATTTGAAGGATTGCACCCTTACTTGATTTTAACTGGTTTTCAAATATTTTCATTTTTATAGCAAATGCAAGGTTGCGCAAATGAACTAACCTCATTCAAGCACACTTTTAACGAACCTGATTAAAATAAATAAAACATAATCTCCTTATTTGTTGCATTATTATTATTTTTTGGTAACTCTGACTACACGTGCTGAAAAAAAATTGAAATAATATTTCATAAAAACATTTAATATTGCCAAAGAAGTACGGTAACACCAGTGACAAAAAAATGGTACATGCGATCTTTAAATAAATGCACAAAAAAATATAAAAAATCATTAAGCTGTCATTTATGCATATTTATAAAGTCAAAGGGTAATCTAATAATGTGGTGTAAGTTTAAATGTTAGAAAAAGAAATACATTTTAAGACATCTTGCCATACCAAAAGTGGACGTTTCTGTAGAATGACCCAAAAGTGCATTATGAGGGTGCATGTAAACGTACTGAATGTCTTAGCCTATATGTTTGGGCCGAAAACACACTGAGGCTGTGTTCGTGGATGAGTCATGTACCCACTGCGGGCAGATGAGACCATCGCGAGCATGAGATCAAGACTGGAGTTACTCGAAAGAGGTGGAGTGCCCTCTCTTTTCGCCCTGTCTAGTTCTTCTGCCCAGCAGAGGGCTACTTTGGTTGGTACACAGGTTGATCTGAGGGTTAAAGTTGTGTTTCAGTTAGTTTTTGCCAACTTTTAGGTCATTTAGTCATTTTGACACCCCTCCACAAAATAATGGATTACTCAGCACATATTTATCCATGGCATTTAATATTTTGGCTTTTATCACTATTTTTGTTAGTCTTTCTTCAGAAAAAAATATTAACAAAATTAAATATTTTAGCGGGGGGCCTCTGGTTGAGTTGACACAGAATTACACAATAGTTACTTTTTTTATATATATATATATCATCACTAGCATCATCACATTCATGGTTTTAAGTCCTTTGGTAATGGACCAAATTATATAAAATAACAAATAAATAAATAAAAATAAAATTAAGAATGGTTAAAGACTTCATTGAAAACATTATCCAAGAAAATGAAGGCTTTATGATTAAAAACTACTACAGTAAGTGACCATGGATTGCCATTATTATTACTACTCTTTGAAAGCGGTTATAGGGCTTTGACCTGCATTCTTTTAGAAAAAGAACACGATTTGCTCTTTTGATATAAGATATAAGATACATGATAAGATGATATAAGAACATAAATTGACCATAATGTTTCAATTTATTTAAGTCTGATGCTCAAGTCACTCATTTAAGTCTGTCTGTAGTTTTTGCATGACTGTTTCTCAGCAATGTAAACAAATCCTTTGCTTGAACATTGCACATGCGTAGAACAATAGAATGAGAATGAAACAATAATATGAATATATGTATTATTTATTGTTTTCTGATACTAACAAAATATTTCAAGATTCTTTTGCGTACTTCTTGGAGTTTTAACCCATAGATTACTGGATTGATAAGAGGTGGCACAATAAGCATCTCTAGAGCCAGAACATTTCGCAGATACTCTGAGACATCACTTGAGCCATATCTGCTGTACATGGAATCAAAAAACACAGCAACAACATAATTTAACACTGTAAACATATGAGGCACACATGTCTGCCAGAATTTTCTTCTGCACTCTAATGATGCTTTACATGCAATGATAATTTTAATGTAGGACAAAATAATAAAAACACACAGGCAAGAATAGAATGAAATTACAAAAATTCCATAAATATTATTGATGAGAGTTGATTCACATGAAAGTTTTACTATAGACCAGTTGTCACAGTACAATTTATTAATGTGATATTTACACAATGTCAGCCTATTTGACAACACAACACAAATGATCATGTAAACTAAGGGTAGGATCCAACAGAAGGCAAGTAATATGCAGCATGAAAATCTGTTTAGTTTTATATGATAGTTTAAAGGTTGGCATATGGCCACATGTCTGTCATATGCCATCACTGTTACTGTAGTACAGTCACACATAACTGAACTGTAGATCACAAAAGCTTGAAATGCACACATGTAAGAAGGAATTACATATGAATCCAGCATTAAATCATGTAGGAATTTAGGATAAAATCCTGCAGCTCCATATATATCATTTACACACAGATTACACAGAAAAATGTACATTGGTTCATGAAGGGCTCTCTCCAAAACAATAACAACACTGACCCAAGTGTTCACAAAAAGTATCATAATATAGAGTACCAAAAAGCATGTGAAATATATATGTCTGAATGATTTTGAGGCTTTTGGTTCCATCAGGGTGTAGGTTGCAAAAATTGTCATATTATCCATGTTCTATTGATGTAACACAATTTTAAAATGAATTGTGATTTGATTCTTTACATTCACCAACTGACAAAAAAAAAAAAAAAACAGTTATATAAAATAAATGAGCATCATATAAGAAAATAATTCACACAAAAGACAAAGCAATCTTTTAAAGACAATTGTTTTAAAACCATTCAACCATTATCTTACATCAAAGTTCAAATCTTGCAGTATATGGTCTCAGTCAAAATTTGGAGGCAGTAATGACCACTGACATGCCTATAAATAATGTTTGCTAATGACAACATGTCTGTGAGTATCTAGCAAATAAACCCGAGGGGTTATTCTAAGAACTTCACATGTTTCTTTACAATTGCAAGTTAAAGTTTTTAAATCTCACAATTGTGACTTTTTTTTCCTCACAATTTTGAGTTTATTATACTATGTAAGCTTGTTTCTGCCATGGAATAAAAAATAATAATAAACTCGAGATTTGGACTCATTTGCGATTCTGACTTTATAATTCACAATTTGATATCTCTTATAAAGGGTCATTTTTTTTCTCAGAATTGTAAGATATAGGGCCCTATCTTGCACTCGGCGCAAATGACTTTGTACACTGACGCATGTATCATTCCTATTTTGCACCCGCGGACTTTTCCCTCCACAGACACACGTCGGTTAACTAAGAAATACACTTGCGCTCCCCGGGGCGGTTCAGCGCAAAGAGGAGGCGTGTTCCGGCGCAAACTTTCCCTCATGCTATTTTGCTGTTCTATAAAACAAATGCGCCACTGACCAGAAAAACCTAGTCTAAAGTCAGTGGCGCGTTGCGCGTTGTTCATTATGCTATTTTAAGGGCGCATGCTTGGCCATAATCAATGTAGCGTGTGCACAACGCGCATACACTTTGATTCTCTCATCTAAGCAGCAGTTTTCATTTTTGCAAATCATACATTATTACGATAGATAGATAGATAGATAGATAGATAGATAGATAGATAGATAGACAATTTATTATAAAAGCATACATGTAGCTTACACATTTACCCAAATTATCATACGCCTGTTTAACAGAAGTTAATTTGGGTGGGTTTCTCAAACTTTCTCCATCCCCAATGTCACTTCTCTGTGTTTTACGGCCCTGACGAGAACGTTGCTCTCCTCGGCTATGAACCGCTCCTGGCGCGCGCCTGGCAAATCCGCCGTTATAATAGGAATCCGCGTTAGAACAAGCGCGCCTGCTCTTAAAGGGAATGTGAGATGACGCTCTGATTGGTTTATTTCACGTTACGCCCAAACCACACCTATGAATAATGAAGCTACTTCAGACCAACCCCTTTTAGATTTGCGCCAGGCGCAAGAGGCATTTATCCCGCCGGGAAAATAGCAACAGCGCCGGGATCCGCCCACAAAGTTACTTGCGCTTTGCGCTTTGACACTTGCGTTTCAGATCGTTAAAATAGGGCCCATAAACTCACAATTGCGTGTTATAAAGTTTGAATTGCAAGACAAAAAATGTGCAATTACCTTTTTTAATTTTTATTCCCTGGCAGAAACAAGCTTCCTGTCACGATTCTAGTCTTGTGGTCCCTTGTTGTGTAAAGGACATTTATGTTGAAGTGTATTTTCCGTTCCTATTGTTTCTGTGTTCACTTCCTGTGTTTAGTTCCTGTTCCCTTTTGTAAGGGATCTCCCGCTGCATCGATACTCAACGCTTTGGGGAATGCCTTCGGCATGTAGCGTCTGATGTCAACTATGGAATTATTCCAATCTCGATTGGTGTAGTGTCATTTCGACACTTGTGACGTCGCATGTGACGGTGATCCGGAAGCTATAAAAGGTCACAGGAAACAGGAAATGTTAGCTTCTGGAGCCAGTTGCACCAACAGGGCTTTACTAAGCCTGGTCCTAACTGCTAAGTAGGTCTTAGTTAAGACCAGTCTTTAGAGTTGACCTAACGTCGTTTGCACCAACCAAACTTAAGCCTAGGTATAACTACGCCTGGTTTAAGCGATGCGCGTTCCTGTGAATGGCCATGGAACAATAGCGGTTGCCTAGCAGCGTGCGTTGCTGTGGTTATGTTGTAAACTATCTTCCGCTGTTTGGTTAACTTGTAGCCGTATCAATGGAGGATCAAAGAAAAAAGAAAGCAAATTTCACCGACATTGAGATATGAAAACTAATAGAGCTGTACAGTCAGCACAGACACACACTGACTGCCAAGCAATCAAACGCAATAACTAACAAGAAGAAACAAACAACATGGAGAGTAGACAGATAATGGAAGCGATTAACGATTGCTCTGACTCCGGCTGCTTTCGGACACTATATCAGTGCCATGGATAGCGGCACAGGCAAAGGATTTTACCTGCGCTTGAGGACTCCGATGCACCACTCAACGAGTGACCTAGTGGTGGTGTGGATGGTGTTATACCGTCGTTCTTGCTCAGTCCTCGGAGCAATTATAGGCGTCATCAGCCAGTGTTTCAGTGGGTATCCACTGTCGCCGAGAAGCAGCCCGTTGACTCTTCCAGCCTCGAAATCCTGGTATAACGCACTCTCCCGGAGGATGCGTGCGTCATGGGCAGATCCAGGCCATCTCGCCACCAAATTAAAGATGTTATAATTGGCGTCACACGCAATCTGCACATTGATTGAATGGTATCCCTTGCGGTTGACATACAGATACTCATGCTCAGATGGTGCCTGGATCCGGACGTGAGTCCCATCGATGCCGCCCACAATACCAGGAATGCCAGAGGCCCGGCGGAATCGGTGTTTCATCACCGCACACTCAGCCTCAGTGAGGAGGTGAGCAGATCACGGAAGGCGGCGGCTCAGTGCCAGTGATACTCTGCGGATGGCCCGACATGCGGTGGATTTGTGGACATTAATCATGTCTCCAACAGTGTTTTGAAACGCACCATTTGCATAAAAACGTAGCGCTATTAACAGCTGTAATGCCGGTGGCAATGCTGCGTTGTGGTTCGACACAAACTGTAAGTCGGGTGACAGCTCTTCAACAAGTTCATATATACTGTATCTCTCCAACAGAATCGAAACCTCTCAATCAGCTCCTCATCATTGTAAATGTCCAATGGATTGTTTCTGTCCCTATAACTCTCTGCTGTCTAATAGCCCGCTCATTGTAAAGTCTGTGTATAAGGCGCGCCATGTCTTTACTGCTGAGTTATCAAGTGGTTACTATAGAAAATTGCCTAGATTTTGACTTTACGCCTGCTACTGACTAGGCGTAAGATTTACGCCTGGTCTTAGCGAGAAGAGGACTTAAGCCTGGATGGTGCAACAGCCGTAACTATTAGGTCGGACTTAGAATGCTGAGTTAAGACCTACTTACCTTATGACCAGGCGTAAGCCCTGTTGGTGCAATCGGCTCCTGGTCTTCAGCAAGCGTTCTGTGTCAAACTGTTTGTTTTATTTGGTGTTGTCTGTCACTTGTATTTGAGAAAGTATGGCGAATAGAGAGAAACTATTCAGGCAGTGTGCGTCCCCTATTTGAGCGAGGGTGACACACACACGCTTTGTGTAGTTTGTCTGGGACTGGAGCATGCACAGGCAGCGCTCGAGGGCGCTGTCTGTGCTAACTGTGAAACAATGCCCCTAAGAACACTCCGCTCCCGCACTCCATGGATCAGGTCCCGCGTCTGTCGAGGCAGCGCGGTGCCTGCATTCGTGGGGATCGCAAAGGGAGTTAGTGGATAGTGCTGAGACGGCTTCGGCCCTTTCTCAGCACTCTGAAGCCAGCTCCCAGGGTCCCGCGCAGGGTGCGGGAGCCCGCGTAGCGGCTTCTTCCGCCCTTGTAACGGACCCGATGCTCGAACTATTCGGCTCCGAGGAGATGGAAATTTAGGGCATCGAGGCAGGGGAATGTGAGGATTCGTCACCCCATTCCCCTGCCTCCGAAGAGCTGCTAGAGGTTGTGACTAGAGCCGTGGCCAAGTTAAAGATCGACTGGCCACAGGAAATGCAGTAAGCGACTAAAAAAAGCAAGCTTGATGAGCGCTTCCTGCAGGCTCCTACAATGGGGCTGTTGCAGGCATACCAGGCCGACCTCCTCAAAGAGGTGGACGACAGCGGGGAGGTCGCCTTCGACGACATCCGAGAGATGCGTCGGGTGGCTGACTTGTCTCTCCGTGCTACCAAGGAGACAACTCGTGCCATCGGCCGCTCCATGGCAGCACTGGTAGCAACGGAGAGACACTTGTGGCTGAATCTGTCGGGCATCGGGGACATGGACAGGGCTTGTCTCCTCGATGCCCCAGTTTCGCCTTCTGGCCTTTTCGGCGACGACGTCGATAGGTTTCAGGAGGGGAAACGGCAGTCAGCCGCATTTAAAGAACTCATCCCCCGCCGTCCTTCCAGGTCTCGTGGGTCTGCTACCAGGGGGCAGTCCCAGGAGACCGCCGCCAGCTCCTCGCACCTGCTAAAGCAGAAGGAGAGTGTCGCCTCTCGTGCTCCCCCGCAAAAGGCCTGGAGCCAGAGGCAACACCCTCAGCCGAAGCCTTCTAAGCCGAAGACAGATCTGAGGACTGTTATTCAGGCAAGGAAGACTTCGGCTAAGAGGCCTTGACGCAATGGTCAGGCCTCTGAGGGCGCTCCACCCCCGCGTGGGTTTTTAAAAAATTTGCCCCGCTGAACCCTCAGGAAATCGATGTTGCTTCCCGCCACCCAGGTAGAAGGTGACGTTCCCGCGACCATGGGTAACGTTTCCTAAAAGTTCTCTAAAGGTGACAAACATTCCGAACCTTTACAGAACATTAGGGACGTTCCTGAAAGGTCCTCTTTTGGTAATGAAAGTGCTGCAGTTCAACATTCCTTAAATGACTTTAGGGGGACGTTCCGTAATGGTAATCTTATGGTCACATAACAACGTTATAAAGAGTACGTAATCAAAACGTTCTCATTTGGGTCTAAGTTGGTCCTATTGTAACGTTCCTTATAGGACTTTAGGGGGACGTTCCGTAATGGTAATCTTATGGTCACATAACAACGTTACAAAG